ACTTAATTACTTTCCACCACTGCTGTTTAGCCACATACAACCTACATGTCTGCAGTTAAAAATCTTCCCAGGACCTACTATCCTACTGCAGATGACGGTTGAATAAGAGGCATTTACAGTGATATCATAACAGTTGCACAAGAGTTTCACAATCAGTCAGAAGTCCAAAATCATGCTGTTAATGATTAATAATTGCATTCTCATAAGCAAACAGGTTCAAATCTGCCCTGTCCCCTCAGAATTAAAACAGAACAAGAGTAGGTGGATGTGCTTGAACTTTCCTACAGAAATCAGCACATTTCTAAAACATATTTATTTTATAGTTCAGCATTTTGAAACAGCATCCCTCAACCAAAGTTGTGCTTTTAGAAAGCAGTGGAGTAAATAGCCTACTTAATAATGTCTAATGACATAATATATTACTGTGACTGTACACTTGCACAGGACATGCTGGTACATGCTATTATTGGACAGCTCAGTAACACGGTGTCTCTGTAAGCGCATTCATGGCCCTGTTATAAACTTAACCTCTCCAGTAAAAGAGATGGCGTTACACCGTGGTGGAGAGATGGAGGGGTGGAGAAGAGAGAAAAAAGAGACGGGCTAATAACAGAGAGAGAAAGAGAGAGAGAGAGAGAGAGAGATGAGAGAGAGAGAGAGAGACTGAGACTCTCGCGCGGAGGGATAGAGGACAAAAACGTGACTAGGCAGCCTAAGAGCTGTTATGCAACCGCTGACCTACTAACACATATTTCTAGAAAGGGAGCCGGAGAAACTGGAGCAAAGTGTCCCGGCATCGCACAACACACAGGCAGCCCGAGCCAAAAGACAGGAACGGCATCCACCCGACCCACAACCGACCAGAGCATCGACAGGAACGGGAGAAGAAAACTTTTCGTTTTTTTTAGGGAGGTTTCCTCTAAAGGGACAAGGAAAGGAGGAAACGGGAGCGAGACAGCTTTTGTGTCGGGGAAGCCTGAATCTTTTTTTTCTCCTCCTCCAGGACATGGAAAGGTATGTTATGATTGAGCGGAAGGCTGCTTTTCGGCTCTTGTCTTTGTGTGTTTGCACCTCTGTGTGTCCTTTATTCGGTGTGCTGTGATATACGGGCGCTGGAGCTGTGTGTGTAGAGATGAGGACATGATGCTTATGGCCGGTTATTGTTCACATGGCGACTCTCGGCTCGCCGCGCGTCCGTGACTTTGAGACGTTTGCGGCTCTTTTTGTCTCATTAAACGCAGCACAATACGCCACTTTGTTGCCGGGGGTTGTTTGGTTTTTGTCGCTTTCATGTTAACACGGTACAGGTAGCAGGGCTGGGAAAACGTGGTTGGCCGTATCCCACGTTATGTGTTCAATGTCAAGGCGAGGTTATTTCCCCTCATGGTGGTGTTTTCCAGGGAATGGGGGCAGCTGCTGAGCTCGGTCTGTGTTGTCTGCTTAATGCACACACAGTGTAATATATTAGCTCCTGCACGTGGCAATGCTACTGTCTGTGTATGTTTAATGTAGGTCACTAGATCACATTTAGCTGCGTAGATAGCAATTCGTCTTTGTGGCTGTCCAGCGGATGCAAACACTAGACTGGATTGAAGCATGGCTTTTTTTTTTTCTGTCTTTTTTTTCTTTCCTTTTTTACTAATTCATATAAAAGGTATTGTTAATGCCACATTTTCAATAAAGGTTGTTGAAACTCAAAGTAGAGGTTATTGGAAATTAATTAATTAACAAAAATAAAACATTATGACATAATGTTTTTAGGATAGATAGCCTGAGTTGATATTGTTTAAAATCTATGGGAGTATTACAGAGACACTACAGGTGAAAACGTGTAATGCAACAGTATTCTCCAAAAAATAAATAAAAAATAAATTAATATATATTATTTCGTGGTTATGCTTCTATAAAACGTCCCTTTTCTTCAGATGTGCGTACCCTTTGCCTCTGTCCCTAGGTTATATCACTAACACATTCAAAGATGTTCAAGTTCAAAGGAGAAAACAGTCACAAAATGTCTGATTTTCATTCAAAGTGAGTCACTGGGTGATTCTTTTTTACTGGCAAGGTGTGTTAAGTAAAGCACAGAGCTTTGCTTTGAGGGAGTTGGAGGGTATGACATAACCAGCACACAGCAGGGAGAAGCAATAAACAGCAGCTCTCTCCCGGGACATAGAGGCCTGTAATTGATTCCCGTTCACACCCTGCGCTTTCTTCCCATCATTCATAGCCAGATTAACACCAAATCCTAAAGCAGATAGATATTTAACAAGTCTGAAAGG